CGGCTCTGTGATTGGTTTATGACATTTTAAGATTGTATTTAAGAAGGTCTTAAGTATAAAAATCGATCACAAATACTGGCCTAAATATTATGTACGTTTTAAGTTTTATGTTTGTGTGAATAAAAAATAGAAATCAATTATAAAATATTTTCTTCATTGTGAAACAATTCAGCGTTTTTCAATTATTTCTGTAAAGAACATGCTGGTAAAGAAATCGTTGTAGTTGACTATATATAATATCATTGTTAAACATTTACCGCTTATTTTGTGTTAAAATTTTCCATAGCAAAAGAGTTATACGAAAATTAAATATTAAACAAGACTCAATTGTTTACATCGAACGTATTTAAATGTCCACTCGGCAGTACCGATTAAATTACTTTGCTCACCCGATTGCGCAAGGTGTCGTTCTTCATGAGTGCTTCAGGTTTCCTTCTCGTCGACTTTATCACAAGATCTCCCGCTTTCGATCACCAACACCTTACACTTTCCTCCCCAACTGTATCGCGATTCTTTAATACAAGATTATTAAAAGTCTCTTATCCAACGGCATCACTTCATGAGAAAGATAGAATTAATCTTCATCCACCGCTTTTACAATATTTCATTTGCAATGAGGAATTTGAAAGACAGCTGCACGCCATAACAGAATATTCCATTTTCACAAATTTTTCATCACAATTTCATAAATTTTTAATTAACATTTCAGTCACCATTTTTCACGTTTCTTATATAAAATTAAATATTATATATTTTAATAATTTACGTTAGGTATTATAAATATTTGATGTTATTACTGTTCATTTCGTACGAATATAAAAGAAGTATTTTATTATCTTGACAACAAATCTTGTAAAGCTTCATTGGCACCACGTCACAGTTTGTCTTTTAAAGTTCCGGCACTATTGATAACGTTATCGCGTTTCAACGTACGTTACGGTAAGGCACCGAATGCAGTTTCTCGAGACCTTCCTTCCGGCGCCACGCGCGTCTTTATCCTGAAATCTCCCGCCCTCGGCTGGCCGACACCTTGCGGCACCTCTCGTTATACGCTTGTAGACGAATGCCACGCGCTCCGAGTCTGAAGTCTGGCTCTGTTCCGTCCGTACGAGGGGTAGAACCCCATAGGAGATGGATATCGCTAATTATCTTAAGGTGAAGGGGTTCGTAGTAATAGTACGCGACCGTTGTGTTCTACTACCTTCCCTCCCTTCTTCTTCTGTATTTATATCATTCCTCATCGATGTATATGATTACTTAATAGAGTGTCCATGAATCAGTTACAAAATCAATTACAAATCGATGTCGATCAATATTACAAAATATTACTCGAATCATTTCAACGATAAAAAATCGTTATAAAAAATCGTAAAAGAGTAAGATTCATATTATTTAGACACAATCACATTGTTAAACTTGAATTTCAAATGGAATATACTTAATAAAAAAATCGTAAAATTATAAACAAAATTATAAACAATATGATTTATAAACATGGTTTGTATTTTTTGTCAAATGCAAGACTCATGTTTATGTTGCTTTTTATACAGTAGCGTCCAAAATATTTTGGCACTAATATTTTTGTCGCATTTCACAAAAAGTTAAATATCTCGATGGAAAAAGAATATAGAGAAGTTTTTGATATGCATTTTAAAATGCAAAAAGAAAATTTTAAATCTGCGCTTGATTTTTTTTCTATGATATTTTATTCCAAATTAAAAATTGATATTTTTTTGCAATATTTTTGTCTTACTTTGAAATGCTGTGATGAAACATATTATCAGAAATGTAATAGAAGAATATTTAAAAATAGATTTTTTAAGCTTTAAAATGTTTTTTGGAAAAAATTGGTACGATAATTTCTTGCAAAGGTATCAAATTTTTTTGTTGTGTGAAATTTTATTGTCTAAACATTTACTTTTTCTAAAATGTTTTCTGAATTTCGAAATTAAAAGACTAATTGAAAAAAGACGAAAAAGGAAAATATTATAATGAGTTTAGTATGAATTTTTTCAAAATCGATCTATTTTTAAATAAGTTTTCACACACAACAATAAAATTTTATACAAAATTTGATATCTTTATGAAAAATCATCGTATTATTGTCCAATGATATCATCAAATCACAGTACGTTAAAATAAAATAAAAATATTACAAAAAATAATAATTTTTAATTTAACGTAATTTAGAAACCAAATGTCGTAGAAAAAAATTCAAACACAAATTTAGTTTTATCTTTGCACTTAAAAATGCATAGTCGAAAACTTCTCTACCATTTTTTTCACAGAGATATTTAACTTTTTGTGAAATGCAACAAAAACTAATGTCAAAAAATTTATGCTACTACAAATATCTTACAATTGGTCATATATGTTTGTACTGTATCTCACAATTAATCATACAGCTTGATAACACATTTTTAAAGTAAACAGTCGCTTTATATCGATATATTTTCATTTTATTTTTCATTCAACGTCTATTTGAATCTACTTGACATAATAATATAAAATTTGATAGAAAAAGTAGTGACACCAATTCATCTCTATTTTTGAAAAAGTTAATCGCTATTTTCTAATCATTTCTAATTTCTAAAATTAATTCGTGCGAAACGTACAGAATTATTATCTTATACAATTATTTCAATGTGAATTATCTCAATTTGAAAGTAATAAAAAATCCTAATATATTTACCAAAGTAAATTATGTAATATCGAGTAATTTAAATAAGACATTTAGAAAGAAAATTTCATCCCACAATTGAATTTAAAATTGCTAATTTTAAACTTATGCCTTTATTTCATTTTTAGATTATAGACGACAGAAAACCGCGAGGATCATTAATACTCTTCCTTTTCCTCTCTCTTTCGTGTTATTCATTGTTCTTTTGATGCTACCTATACAAAAATGCGACGATATAACATGGTGCATACAGTTATTACACGTGTAGTGGCTTGTATTGTGAAAGCATCTGTTGTTCCGCTGTTGATCGTCGTGACGATTCAAACGACAAACAGGAAGAAAGACGGGAAATCGGAAATTGAAAATTAATTTCCGCACTGCCATCGTCAGTTCATCGTCCGATCAGCGCCGCAAAATTTGGAAATATCACCGTGATATTGTAATGGACTCATTATCCGCGTAAGTTTTTAAGTTTATCTTAACCGAGATATTATCGTGTCTCCTAATGAATTCGTAGTAGTATTCAACAAATCGAGCACAGACAAATTTCTATCAAACTATTTCTATCAGAAATTCATTAAATAGGAAATTCTGACCATAACAGTTTAAGAGATCTTTTTAACTAATTTAAAGTGAATTAATATATACTATATTATATGTACATATATATATATATATTTTATATATTAATCTCACTAAAATAAAGTTATCTAGGTTAGGAATCCTACGTTTCATTCACTGATTTTCAGTGGCATACTTAAG